AAATTCTGATTTACTCGAGCGCACGAAACGTATTTCTTTCGCTTTTCTGCGCCAACGCTCACATTTGGAATTGCGAAGGCATTGAACAATTGGCATTTCGTCAAATAGTATGTGGTTACATTAATTAGTGTACCGCTAACGTTTGCGGCTATACCGCACGCACTACATGTCTAGATACCCTATTTTTTTCTATTTCTTGGAAAACTTGGTATTTAACAATTGTTAAAATAAAGTAGTAGCTAGAAAAATTATATGTGCCCATAAGGAACAAGCCTTCTGTAGCTCCACGAATTTTGAACTCTTGCTCTATGTCTTTAATCTGAAAGGCTAAACTGTTCAGGGGAGCATATCTGTCATAAATGGGTTATATTGTTATAAATGTGCCGAACAAATTAAATAAAAATTCTATTACTTATATGCCTTCGCGAGAAAAAGTATATGAAACGGTTTTTTCAGCGGATGCCTGAGAACCTGTCGCCTAGAGAATTTTATCACCTTCTACGTCCGTTTCTCTGGGGCTACAACGAAGGTTCCTTGAAACAGCGCGGAATCATATTCGAAGTTATCTATCAAGCTTTATTTAATATACATATTCAGTAGTTTCTCGAATTCCTTAGAAGGTTTTTAAACAACGGAGAAAGGTTGTGCATAGGTGTGGAATCGCAACACATAACATACTTCTATCCTCCGGCAAAGTTACCACGTTCAATGGAAAGACTACACTCCTTCGAAAACAGAGAATTTAATTGAGAGTGCATCACGATCTCCAAAATTTTAATCACGTAATTAATGACTATAATATAATAGTGGCAGGAATGTTTTGAGAGTCACAAGATCGGTGACTACCTTTCCTGTGGCTGACCTAAGATCGCTCAACTCGCATATCTAAAGAAATTGGGTAGTCTAATGGCTCAGTTCACAATGACGCACGCGGTTCCTCACGAAACTTGATCTTAAATCATATCTGTCTACAAACAAGTGGCTTTTCAATCACATGTAACTAGAGCTCATTCTAGGGATGGAAGAGAAAGGACCATTAAAATACGGAGGTGGTAGTGCTGCACAAAGTTCAACAATCCAGTTGATAGATGCATTTCTTCGTGTTGAACATTCAGGTATGATTTACAGAGTCTATATTAGCATAAGAGCATCCAGTCATTTTTGCATACTCAGTGGAAAGAAAGTTCGTTGTATAAACACTATCCTGTTCACGTTTTGATGTCAATCCTCTGGCCAGGTTTTGAAAGGATGACACATAGGATAACACAGGTGCCGTCTCAAGCAACTACTGGTTCCCTTGCTTCTTTCTGAAAACAATGGAAGTGAGAAAGGATATCGAAACAGTGTTTCCCATAACGCTTAATGTAATAATCAACGCAAAAGGAATTCCTGGCAGTGCGTCAGGACTCTACCCATCCAGTGAATGCTGAAGCTACACACATGACGATTTCGAGACGATTTCGAGTGGGAGCCTTTCATCTGGTCACTGTTGCGCACGAAAGGCATTATGATTACACAATTTGCTCAAATGCTGTTAGTACAGTAGAGACACTCCTAAAAGGTGCTTCATTCGATAAATATGTTGCATGCGTTAATGGATGGCCATTGAAATGAAGGGCAGAAAGGTTTTCTGAAGGGCTCTAGCTCCGATGAAATGACTAACTTGATTTGCATTTGTTGAGAGATACTTTCGTTGAATCAAGCAAAAATTAATTCAGAATTCTTCATATTTAACTTCGCACTTCATTCTTTGCATACGAAAGCGTTGACGATAACGCGCTCGGCGTCGACCCATCCCTAATAACCCCCCTAATAACCCACGTATTCGGTTTCCCCAAGCACCATAGAAACGACTGAATCATATCTAGTCTGTGTAATTACTGGCGGTAGCCTCCCTATGTATTAAGTCCAAGCCTGGTTCCAATTTTCTTATCCCGGCATACTGGACGAGTGCAAGGTCGAACCAGCGAGCGATCCAGTTTATATTTTGTGATCCCTATCCGCTGTGCTGCATAGGTGCTTCATCATACATTGACCTTTGCTATTATTACTTTTGGTGTCGTATTATTTGTAGCAACTATTTACAGCAACTGTTAAAAACAGAGTTATGTAGAACGAAGAAGCAAACTGAGTGACAGAATAATGGCCTGTGTTCGTGTGGTGGATAGCACGCCAAACCACCAGTGAGGGGAAATCGCGGGTTGGAAAGGTTCCTAGCTTGCTCATACCTCAGCATCCTTCTGGTTATGTAGAAAGCTTTCATTTGGTAGCAAAACTTAACGTTTCTAATTCACTATGAGACTGCCAAAGAGAGCAGCAATAGGTTTATTGAATGCAAGATGGAAGACAATCAAAAACAATTAATTAATGTGTTGCCGTGCGGTACGCTGAAAGTGATCGTGGAAAGCTTTCTTTATTAAAATAATCTCAAGTTAAAGCTAGTTTCCTAGTTACCTTATCTCGTGTAAATGTTTGAGCGTCTTTCCTTACATCACATTGTTTATCAATGTTGTCATTCCGCTGCATTAATTTGTGAGGTCCAGCTGCATTTCGCTACAATATTTTGCTGTTTTTAGTCAGCATATGTAGTACTCAAGTGATTTCTGAAGTTTGAGGAGATATTTTATTGAGGGGGTTAGTGATGCAGTCCATCCGAAGCACTGTGCTTGGACCGCTCCCAACGCTCCACGTGTCAATCCCTCATCTCGGCTATCTCCAGGATTGCAAGGAGAATCGGGTCGACCAGCGTTTTACCACATCCATTAAGAAGACGAAATTATCAAGTGGCAACCGAAACAAGACGCGAAATGTTCGAAAACCCTTGTGGACGACAAATGTAAGGAAAACTAACCGAATGCAAGAAATTCTGGGATCCGCACAAGAAATGTAATGATAGGACAATTAAAAAATTTTTTATTGATAAGCCGACACGAGATTGTAATCTAATTTTTTATATGGTTAACGTCTCAGCGCCTTCACCTTCTTCAGAGACGCTGTGAATCGAGACAGTTACCTGCGACCGACACTGATGTTATCAGAACAAATCTTAATGTTTCATTTACTCGGTGTTTTCTATGATGGCACCACGGAAAACCTAGTTGGCTAACGGTACTGCTTAAAATAGCTTTACAACATGGTTGAACATTATAAATGGCATAGTGTCCAAGTGCCTGTGAAATTCATTAGAAATTCGTAGCAAAAAAATTTGATCGTTTCAAGGAACTGTTTTGCCTAGTAGGTTGATAGCTTCGAAAGATTTGCACCGAAAAGACACAAAGTGTCGTCGACACATCGTAGCGCCAATGGGGCAATGTGAATAAGAAAATCAGCTCCTTCGACTTTCCTTAAAATTAAATTAATGGGCTCACTTTTCTAGAGAGTCGTAGATGATAAGAACGTGGTAATTTTTTGAACAAGCAGTAGACACCATTTAGTTTGCGTCCCTCACAACACCATACGAATAAGCGGAGCACTTTACCTGTGGCTGTCACATTTCATTGTTTCACCAAGGCAGTGACCTTCCTAAGGTGCCGAAAACAAGTGGTGGCTGTTCAGAGTTTTTGAAGAAAGATCAGGACCAGTAGTAGAAGAAAGACCATAGGAGTAGGAATGTGCAGAGTGGTTTACCAGTCATCATTTTCTCTACAGAATAGTACTTGCCAAAGATTGGGAAACGTCTGACACATTCTCAACGATACCGGTTTTTCGAAAACTATCGATTGCATTGTTCGACAATTAGGGTGTTTGAGAACGTGAGTGTTTGATAAACCTAAAGAGGAGCTGAAGACATGTGCTTTTCATGAAAACATCAAATTATTGATCCATATCGAGGTAAATAGAAAGTTTGTCTTGAGAATTATAAAAGATGGTTTGCCACATTGATCTAGTGTACTCAAGAGCTCATTCAAGCGTTGTTCAAGCTTATTCACTTCCGACTGTTTCACTTTTGACTGGTTCAAAATTTAGATTTTTAGAAAAGAAACACGAAAAGAACTTCAATTTTTAAAGTATGAAATGCAGTCACAGCCACTGTAATGTTTAACCCACTTGCTCTTGGTCAATTCGTCTTCATATTCGGGATTATGAGCCTTGAAGCAAAGAAGGAGTTAGGAAAAATAGCCATTGGTTTAAGAAAAGCAAAATTTCGACTCATTTGAGCAGGCAGTAGCAGGCGGAGACATTTAGGTTTTAATGCTTTCGATTTTAATTAATCAACTTCAATATGATGTACTTCAAAATATCGGTTCAAACTTGGAAGTGGTCATTATTGTTACGCAGAATGTATTGTGCTTAGTTAACGTTGAGGGTTACTTGCCATATTTGCACAGCCTAATTATTTTCCATCATCTATGAGCCATCAGTCATACCGTCTGAAATGTGTAAAGGACTGTAGATGTGCTCCGTTGGCGACGTTTACGTGGTTAATGTTCTGTAAATTATTATTGAGATTATTTGCATAGATAGTAGATTATACACAAATTCCATCTTTCATAAAAACAATTGTTGCTCCGCTCCGTAATTTAAAAGGATGTAACATTTACAAGTAGTTGCCTTCATGGACCCATGTGGCGCAATGGTCGGAGGCGCTTGCGACACACACGCGGAATCGATAACCGCGCCCATGCTCCACCAAGCCTTCCATCCCTCCGGCGTCGGCAAATTGGTACCGGTTTTGTCTAGGAGTATAGCAGCACTGGCTCGATACATCGGTAGGCAACCGCGAGTTATTGTTAAAGCCAGATATGCATTCAATCATCTTCAACGGTGCTTAACGTAGTCAATGCATGGCGCATTCCTCAGGAATTGATCAGCGCTGGGAGCTTTATCCTTTATCCCTTATCCATGAAAACAGTTTGTTTCAAAACTGACCAGTTTTCATACCTGTTAATAAGAAGAATGAAACGAGAAAGGCAATAAAGCAGATGCGCGATTAGTATACATGATTAAACATGAGTGTCATGGAATTGTTGGCAATCACAGCAGTTTCTAACAGGCTCTGATACAATACTTCACTGCTGTGATTACATTCTTACAATAACTATAACAGGAGACGAACGGACATTTTTAATGGAACAACGAGAACATATGCCACGGGAGCATCGTGAGCTAATTTACTGGGTTGAAGCTCAAACACCGATCCATAACTCGATAGAAGGACGACAACGTGCACTAGACGCCTTAGTCGCGTTTCGTTCTACTCATCTGAACTTGGTGAGCTTCTTAATACCGCTTTAAAATTGGCTGCAATATGATTATAAGCAATTCATTCACAGGTGTCTCAATTCATTCTCACACAAATAGAACGGCATTCGCAAACGACAGGAACTGGTGGCTCTTCATTTGTCAAGTTTTTGAAGAACGTGAGAGCTGATACTAAATAAACACTTTTCCGTAGCTGTGTAGTAATTCCATTTATTGCAAGGCAGTCTAGAGTAGACGGTTGTATCGTAATTGGCTCTGATCGTGTCAGAGAATAAAACTCAATCCTTTGATCGCTAAAGTAACCGAGAGCTTCACTGTTGTCAGTCAAATTGTGGAAGAATAACGACGTCGTAGATGCGCCAAATACTGGCAGCACCAATAATCACAACGTCATGATGATGTCCTGAAATGACAAAGAAATAATCTAAGAAGGATATTTCGGAATTCCTTTAACAAAAGTATGAGACCGTAGAAGTAATATTTTAGAGGAAAAGAAAAATGGAAAAGATAAACAATCTGCACTAATAAAAAAATTAATCGTAGATATTTATGGGAGAAAATCTCTAGTTTCGTTCATAACTATAGTTATGGCGTAATGAGGATAATGCTCATGAGCAGTCAGGTGGAGAAACTCATAACTCAGACCAAAGACCTCATTCGAGTTGGTTGCACATGAAGCTGCTGCAAACCTACTTTCATGCTACAAAAAAACTTGGGAAATTAGATGAAGACAGACCACTAAATGATCAGCTATGACATTAAAGCTGTTGCCTTCACACCTACATTCTCTTAACATAACGTTGAGTATAATTTGTTCCAATTTCTAGGTCAGTAGTCACAGTGTAGTCAAATCAACTAGAAGTGAAGATAATGACTGTACTGTGAGTGTACTTAACCAGCCACTCCACATAGAACGGACTCCACAATTCTACAAGTTAATTTTAATGAAAGTGCTGCTGGAAAGGATTCAAGTTATCAATAAAAAACATGATCCAGCTCACGGTCAATTTTATCAATTTGTATTAGATTTTTTAGAATTTACAGTTCTTTGCCAACAGTACAAAAATAATCTTAACGTGAAGCAGCAGGTAGCGTAATGATTAGAATTATCCTGAAATGCACACAGAATTTTCGGTTCGATCTCGTGTCCCGTGCAAAACAAGTACTCGTCGGCAAATTGCCAGTAGACCTGTCTGGTAGGATAGAAAAAACCACTTGATATAACATTAGGCATTGTATACATTTGTTCACTGTATCCTCCCAATAGGGCGCGTGTGGTGCAGTGGTTGGAGGTGCCCTGCAGCACACATGTGGAATTGATCCCCAGCCAATGACTACCTAACCCTTCATCCCTCGGAGGTCGGCACATTGGTGCCAGATATGTCTTGGAGGTTAGCAGCACTGGTTCGATACATCGGTAGGCCACAGCGAGTCATTGTAAAGGCCAGATATGCATTCAATCACCTTCAACGGTACTTAATAAAGTCGAATGCATGGCGCATCCCTAAAAGGATTGATCAACACCGAAAGCTTTACCCTTTTATCTTCCCAAAGGTTTACCACCTCATGGTGTATGCGAGGTGTTCTGGGTGCCAGGCTGCGATGTACAGAGGAGGATTCATCCTCCCTGCAGGGCATCCAAAACTGAGAAAGTGTCCGACGTTTCCATCAGGAAGCCCAACCAGTAGTAAATCAATACCAGAATCCACCGCTGTCCAAGTACCAAACTAGTCGCCTGGTGGCAAATCTTCCTCTGATCCACAACGGCAGCGAATGCCTGGAAGAGTAACGATCTAAGGAGATATATTTATTTATGTGATCTTATAAACTGATCTTCTTAAGCTGACGCGAGATTGGTACAGATCTTCGCTGTCGTTGTTGTTGTTTTTGATGATATTGATCGATGGCTGACGTTTCGGCGACTTCGCCTTCCTCAGAGCCTGGAGGTATTTTATATTAGGATATTTTTATTATTCGGTGGAAAAGAAAGGTTAAAGTGTTTATGAAGAACAAACTTTCAAATAGACGCCACATTGAACAGAAAGGCCACTCACCGTCATGTTACGTGCGGGACTGGCCGACGCGTTGTTTTCGTGGAGTCGCGAGCAAGATAAACCCCGGGGTCAAAATATCATTTTGAAATAGGGCGCTAGGTCACGCGTGATAGTGAGGCATTCGTCCTTCCGGTTCATCTTTGGATTTTTGAAATTTATCTAAAGTGCATCAAGAGTTTTGCACGTTGATGTTTTTGATTGTTGATGTTGATGTTGATGATCCGCACATTCACTTCAAAATCATCGCCGTTGTGCTTTTGTGCCCTATGCGTACTTAGAGGAGTGTTTAAACGGATTTTAGCTTTTCCATCTAGATGTTCTTTTATGCGGACACAAAGTGGTCTACCCGTTTCCCCGATATATTCCTCGCCGCATGCATTACATGAGATCAAGTATATTATACCTAAACTCATGCAATCCCCGTCTCTCCCGTTAGGATTCCCGTTTAAGCTGCCCTTCATATCAAATGAAGTAAGTCACGCCATTAAAAAGTGCTCAAGAAAAAGGGGTTTTGAAAATTATGTAACGATTATTGACATTCCACCCAATACCCTACGCCGCCAGTTAGTTCGAAACAGTCTCTATGATCGTTTGTGCGGCTCAGAAAACGGTATGATCTGTCCTAACGGGAGAGACGGGGATTGCATGAGTTTAGGTATAATATACTTGATCTCATGTAATGCATGCGACGAGGAATATATCGAGGAAACGGGTAGACCACTTTGTGTCCGCATAAAAGAACATCTAGATGGAAAAGCTAAAATCCGTTTAAACACTCCTCTAGGTACGCATAGGGCACAAAAGCACAACGGCGAGGTTCAAAAGCAGGTGTTATAGGTGTTATAAAAAATGTGCAACGCCGGATGAATTAGTTCATTTATTTGCTATTCCTTTTCATAACTATGTGCAATGTGAAATACGGTGAATAGTACGTAACCTACTGGAAAGGGTAGGTTCGAAGCCCAACTGAGGTTTCGAGTTTTGCTGATTTCTCAGCGGGCTTGTAGCCGTGTTCCATTAGATGTATGTTTATACCTAGTGTATTAAACTTACTGAGATGGAGTGTTTTGCTGCGCAAAGCTTTTTTTTTGCTAAACTTATAACGTTAATTCGATATCTATCCATCACAGATTTCGTGGAGATCGTAAGTCGAGGAAGATTACACATGATTAATTGCCAGGAAGTAGTTCGTGGAACGAGTTTGTTCGTTAATTTTGTTGCGCTTGGCACACTGCAATTCCACGTTTAACAAGCAGCGGACGATATGCGTAATATATTATCACGCGTGTTCGAGATTTATTGAGCCGTTTAATATTAAACAAACATATCTCATAAAGGATAAAGCTCTCGTCGTTGATCGATCACTGAGGGACGAGCCATGCATTCGACTTCACTATATATCGTTTGGAGGCAATTGAATGCAGATCTGTCCTGTAAAATGACTCGCAGTGGCCTACTGATGTGTCGTGCCAGTGCTGCTATCCTCCCAGATAAGTCTAGTACCAATTTGGCGACCCCGGAGGAATGGAGGGTCTGGTGGGCCAAGGGCGCTAGGGTCGATCCCAGGAGTATTGGAGGTCACCTCCGACCACTGCTCCACGTATACTTGGATTCGTCCTTCATATACTTCGGCTCATGGTGGGCTTTGTCAATCGAAATAAATAGCATTAGAATGTATGAATCTATGTTGGTAACGTGAAACTTAGCATGCGTGTTTACTTGTTCTCATGACATCGACAGTTAGTCAATATTTGGCCTAACATACTCGAGAACAGTTTTCTCTGTGTGTGTGTCTACTGTAGACGTCGTAATCGTCCTGATTGTCGGATTTGATGTCTTTATTTTCAGTGTTTACGGGTAGTGTAATAGTTTCACCGTTGTCGTCCGTCTTTTCATCTTCTTCATGGTCACTCCAGCGGGCGAGCTAACCAAAAGCTAAGTTGGATGCATTATTCATTAACGTAATCGAGGCCTGTGGAACGCAATCTTCATCTGTTCAAATATACGGAAAAGTAAACAAGGATGTTCATTTCAATGTAAGAAACATCCCAGCGTGAACGGGTGAAACACAGCAAAAGGGACCAAATATAGAAAGGCGATGGGAGGAAGAAATGACGATAATAAACGCACAAACGGAGAAGGATGGATGGAGGATGTATATTTTCATATATATTTTTTGTGCGATACAGACAGCTACATTCTAAATCCTTGCTGAGTTCTGGACTGTGTAAATGTTCCAGCTCTAGCTATCCAAAAGTTATCAGCTTTTATTGAAAGACCAGTGTTGTTCATAACATGAGACATATAAAGTTCTATTTTTCATCAATCATCGGATGTTGTTTCACCTTCAATTGCTATGATGAAACATGCCTATTGCTTGGAATGGGTGGATATAAAATTCGAAATGTACTTATCGTTTAGGTGGTCGTCCGAGTGGATATTTATATCGGTTGCATTCTCCTCTGCTGCTCTCTTCATCCAACTGTCGTATATCTTTCTTGTTAAACGGCCTGACGAATTCAGTGTTTCTGCTCTCCGAGACAAGCCTGGTAGCACTTTACTGACCTGGAAACGGAAGGCTTGACGAAGTCGGGAAGCAAGATCTAGCTAACCATGGATCCAGTGTGTGTTACAAGACACCTTTAACCACTGTACACAGATTTCAAACTAGCTTATTATTTTTGCTAATTGTTGGTGAACTGATAGCAGCGTTGCATATTGCAATCTTCCGAATGTAGTATCGCTGATGCAACCACCAGTACAAAAAAATTAAAAAGTGAAAAAGTAAAGTGAAGTAAAAAAATTTTTTGCCTTTGAGAGAAAGGCGAAACGAAGGACACGCATGGTGTGGTGATGAATGTGTCTTTCCCCACCGCAGAACACCTACGGTCCGAGGTTTTCCCAATATTTCATCTCCACCGTGAAAAAATTTAACTTTTTCTTTATTTACTGCCTATTCTTTTTAACGGCAGGGTATTTGCGAAATATAACTACTATAATACTGAGATATTTGCAAAATTCCGGACCGCAGGTGTCTGCGGTGGGGAACGAACGCGCTATTGCCCTTTCCGGGGAGTAACGCGTTCACCACCACACCATGCGGGCCCTTCGTTTCGCCTGTCTCT